CAATACCATGAAAGTGGCCATACTGCCCAAGGTAATTTATACATTCAGTGCCATCCCCATCAAGCTACCAATGAGTTTCTTCACAGAATTGGAAAAAACTGCTTTAAAGTTCATACGGAACCAAAAAAGAGCTCACATTGCCAAGGCAATCCTAAGTCAAAAGAACAAAGCTGGAGGCATCATGCTACCTGACTTCAAAATATACTACAAGGCTACAGTAATCAAAACAGCATGGTACTGGTGCCAAAACAGAGATATAGACCAGTGGAACAGAACAGAGCCCTCAGAAATAATACCACACATCTACAGCCATCTGATCTTTGAGAAACCTGACAAAAACAAGAAATGGGGAAAGGATTCCCTATTTAATAAATGGTGCTGGGAAAATTGGCTAGCCAGAAGTAGAAAGCTGAAACTGGATCCTTTCCTTACTCCTTATACGAAAATTAATTCAAGATGGATTAGAGACTTAAATGTTAGACCTAATACCATAAAAACCCTAGAAGAAAACCTAGGAAATACCATTCAGGACATAGGCATGGGCAAAGACTTCATGTCTAAAACACCAAAAGCAACAGCAACAAAAGCCAAAATTGACAAATGGGATCTAATTAAACTAAAGAGCTTCTGCACAGCAAAAGAAACTACATCAGAGTGAACAGGCAACCTACAGAATGGGAGAAAATTTTTGGAATCTACTCATCTGACAAAGGGCTAATATCCAAAACCTACAAAGAACTCAAATTTACAAGAAAAAAAACAAACAACCCCATCAAAAAGTGGGCAAAGGATATGAACAGACATTTCTCAAAAGAAGACATGCATACAGCCTACAGACACATGAAAAAATGCTCAACATCACCGGCCATCAGAGAAATGCAAATCAAAACCACAATGAGATACCATCTCACACCAGTTAGAATGGCAATCATTAAAAAATCAGGAAACAACAGGTGCTGGAGAGGATGTGGAGAAATAGGAACACTTTTACACTGTTGGTGGGATTGTAAACTAGTTCAACCATTACGGAAAATAGTATGACGATTCCTCAAGGATCTAGAACTAGATGTACCATATGACCCAGCCATCCCATTACTGGGTATATACCCAAAGGATTATAAGTCATGCTGCTATAAAGACACATGCACACGTATGTTCATTGCAGCACTATTCACAGTAGCAAAGACTTGGAATCCAAACAAATGTCCATCAGTGACAGACTGGATTAAGAAAATGTGGCACATATACACCATGGAATACTATGTAGCCATTAAAAAGGATGAGTTTGTGTCCTTTGTAGGGACATGGATGCAGCTGGAAACCATCATTCACAGCAAACTATCACAAGAACAGAAAACCAAACACCGCATGTTCTCACTCATAGGTGGGAACTGAACAATGAGATCACTTGGACTCGGGAAGGGGAACATCACACATCGGGGCCTATTATGGGGAGGGGGGGGGGAGGGATTGCACTGGGAGTTATACCTGATGTAAATGACGAGTTGATGGGTGCTGACGAGTTGATGGGTGCAGCACAGCACCATGGCACAAGTATACATATGTAACAAACCTGCACGTTATGCACATGTACCCTAGAACTTAAAGTATAATAATAAAAATAAAAATAAATAAATTAAGATATAAAAATTAGCTGGGCATGGTGGTGGGCGCCTGTAATCCCAGCTACTCAGGCGGCTGAGGCATGAGAATTGCTTGAACCTGGGAGGCAGAGGTTCCAGTGAGCCGAGATCATACCACTGCACTCCAGCCTGAGCAATAAAGCAAGACTCAGTCTCAAAAAATAAAAAAAAGCAATTACTACAATAAATTGCAATTTGTGCTAAGGGCTATAAAACAACAGGGAGCTATTCAACAGAGTTCAAGAGAGCGATCCCTTTCAACAGGAGTAATCAATAATAACATCAGAGAAGAGATGTCATCTGAGCTGACCCTCACAAAATAGACAGGATTTTCGTAACACAAAACAGGCAGAAAGGGCTTTCCAGGACAGGAAAACAAAATACAAAAAAGTGTTAATGATGCAAGAGGGAAAGGCAAAATGATTCACTTGGACAGGCACATAGGACAGTCATAAGACAGCAGAGACTGACAAAGTAGAAGGGGAAGGCTGGGGACAGATAGTAAAAATTCTTAAATGCTGAGTTCTGGAATAGGAACTTCATTTTTTGAGCAACTGGGAATAATCAGTGAAGATTTGTTAAAAGGCAGTGAGCTATAAGGGTTCGTCTGCTTATAATTAAATTTAATAGTATTGAGAATACGTAAGGAGATTGGGAGAGATCGATTGAAAGTTGGGAGGTATAAAAATAAGATAAGTATGTGAATTAAAGCACAATGTCTAAAATAAAGTAAACAATAAAAGGCAACATTATCAGCATTATCACCATCATCATCATCATTATTGTGACTACTATGGTAACAGCCTTGGTAATGAACAGAAAGAGGAGATTGTAAGACTATGGGAAGAAATAATATTTAGCATTTGATCACTAGTAACAAAAATAGGAAGCTGAGGAAGAGATGGTCATTTTTAAAAGAACATAAACGTTTTAGACATGCTAAGTTTGATCTCACAGAAAAAAAATGTGCAGCAGACAGTTGATCTTAGAGGACTGGAGCAAAAAGAGATGTGGCAACAAAAAAGAAGGAAGCTGTGAAGCTTGAATGAGATAACCTGAATATTCTTTATAAAATATAAGTGAGAAATGCTTAAAATGAGTGAGACAGAGGTTGAATTAGGGGCCACACAAGCATGGAAAAGTTTTAGAACAACCTAAATGGAAGACAGACAATGAATAACAAATATAACCTTAGACAGCAAAAAGAATCCACTGGAAGTTAAATAAATGAATTGAGACTAGATAATGGTTAACACAGAAATTACATGATTTTCTCTTGTAGTGGTCAAAAGTTTGGGAGAAGAGAGAAAGTAAACAGTAAAAGTGGCCTTAGACTAAGGAGTAGAATGGCAGACAGAACAGAAGTCTGATGGGGAAGAGATTATGAAATGCAAGGAAGAACATGATGCAATACATGACATGTGATCCAGACTAGGTAGCTTTCATGGAAAGAAGAGAGAATTGCTCCCCAAAATAGGGGGCTAAACAACTAAATGTCTCAAAAAGAACAAATATAGAAAGACAGGTAGACACTTACTGATAGGGGAGGTAATCAGTATGGCCATAGTTAAAGACAGCAAACCTCATCAAAAGTGTTTTGTGGGCTGGGTACTATGCTAGATGCTGAGGATAAAAAGCACAATCCCTGCTCTTGAAGAATGAATAATTTAGTGCAGGGATTGGCAAACCTTGTATGAAAGGGAAGACAGTAAATATTTTAGGCTTTGCAGTCCATGGGTCTCTGTTGCAACTAAGCAGCAACAACCAATATGCAAATGAATGAACATGACTATTTTCCAATAAAACATATCTTAGGGATTCATATAGTTTTCATGTGTCACAAGATTATCTTTATTTTGATTTTTCAACCACTTAAAAATGTAAAAAGTAAAAATAAAATTCCTTGTTTGCCAGCTCTATAAAAATAGATGGCAGGTTGTATTTGGCCCAGGGGCTGTAGTTTGCAGATCCCTGATGTAAGTGGGAAAGTCCGGAAAGAAAAGAGAGGAGCATCATACATGTACCTATCACTCACATATATTCTTAACAACTAGCAGTAAGCTCTGAGAGTGGACTTATTATTTACCTCTCTCTATCTCTTCTTTTCAGTCATGATTAAAAAAAAAAATCTTTATGTTTTGTTTCTTACACCTAGTATGTTAAAACTGATACTTTCTCGTTACTGTTTAGAAATTTTCAATTTCACTAAAAAATATTCAGGCCCAATCTTAGTTTTATTTTCTTGAGTTTAAATCTTTATAACAAAAAAACCACACACTTCTTTCACATATGTATGACTTATTATGCTTTATGACAAATTGATGAATAAACATTAACTGATTTCCAGCCGTAAAAGATACCACCTAGAGGCAGAAATATATACTTCCTCAACTATCTCCAAGGTTTTTATTTCTATTGCTTCTTTTCACCATCTAATTTTGATGATTTTTTAAATAAAAATAAAAGTTGAACAATAAAAATCTGCCTAATTTCCACTGTTGTAGAATGTGATGACTCTGCAGAAAATTTTCAAGAGCAGAAGAACCATGATGATAACTGTGGAAGTTGAGTGATGGGTTCGTGGGAGTTCTTTAAGGTACCTTTGAAATATTTCATACCAAAAAAGGTTTTAAAAATCCATCTCTGAGGCTATGCTGGAGAATGAAGTTTGACTGACTGTGGTGCTCATTACGTGTCTCAGCAGTGGCAGTCACAGAGTCCTACTCAAACAGCACTGTGAGGAAGGCTTACGGACAGGACTGGGTTGAGGGGAGGTGAGTGAGGCTGTGCTGAGATGAAGGACAGTTAAAAAAGCTAGGGGCATGTGCTAGAACCTCTTGAGTTTCCATTTTAACAACTATTCATAGTTTTTATGCTTAAATTATTTTGTTATTTTATTCCTAGTTTTTTGCCAACCCATTTTGATAGCAGGTTTATCAGAGTTCTATAACAGCATACAATTAATAGATGACAGCCTACTGTGAGAACAAATATATTTTAAATACACTATCAATAACACTGGCTTCAAAGACCTAAATTTTAAGGAAAGAGGGTGTCAGTTCATTCACATTTCACTCCTTTAATATCACAGGCCATGACTGCCACATTACACTTGTATCATATTTTAAACTGCAGGCCAGTATGGTAGATTATTTTTCCCCTTCTACCCCATTTTTTCCAGGGTTGCCATAGTTAAATAGGTATGATCCTTGGTTACTGAAAATAAAATGGAAGAATATACAAATACCATTAACATCAATTTAGTGGTTCTTAGTATTTCATAACTAATAATACATACTCCTGACATCAAGAATGATCTTTGGCTCTGTATTACATAACTTGGCATGAAAAACCAACCTGTGCTTTCCTCATGTATACCAAAGGTTCTTTAAGATGTTCAGGAGGTGCAGCAGGATGACTAGGTAAAGGAAACCTAGGAGCAAAAAGAGGCAGCTAAATATCACACATTACTCTCTTGGTTAGATATTACTTACCTCTGTAGTCCATGTTATAAACTGTTTTCCCAGTAACATTTCATTTTATATTCAAAATGTATTGTTTTTATTAAGAAAATAGGTTGATTTAGTCAACAAATACTTGGGCCGCTCTAGGTACTAAGTATAAGGTGGTGATTGAGATAACATTCTCTGTTCTCATGGACGTAACATTCTCATGAAGAAAGCCAATAATTACAAACACATACAAATAAAATAATATCAGATTGTAACAAGTGCCGTGAGAAAATGAAAGCAGGGTAATAAGATACAATAAATTTGGAGGTCAGTGAAGTCCCCTTAGGGGATTTTATATTTAAACCAAGACATGAGTGTGAAGGAGCCAACCACGCAAAGATCTGGGGGAAGAATATTCCAAGCAGAGGGATGGCAAGCGCAAGAATTCTGAGGAGGTAATGCATGAAATGTTTAAGGATCAGAAAAAGTCAGGATCACTGGAACATAATGACTGAAGTGCAGAGTGGTATGAAATCACAGATAGAAAAGGCAGTAGGAAGACATGATGGTTCAACGTTTATTTGGAAATTCCAATCCATTTCACAACGATATATAACTCCTCTTGAAATTAGTCATCAGACTTGTACCTACAGCAAAACAGTCATGTTCCAATAATCAAGAACCGCAGAGCTGAATTCTCAAGAAATTCCTGGTCCAAAGTGGAACAAAAGCATGTAAAAGGTTAATAATATTTCAAACCACTTGCATCTGTCCTGGAGCCTACATGTAAAAGGCTAAACTGTGCATAGAAACATTGCTGGAATAGGGAAAGGCAACCTATCCCACCTAATCTATAAGGCAGTTTCACAAATTAATTGTTTCTGGCAAATTATTTTTCCAATAAAATCTACATTTCAGGTACCTTCCCATTCACAAATGAAAAAAAAAGTTAAGTCTCTAGATACCTTGATATTTCTTGTGTTATATGTAAGATAGTTTAAAAACTATCTCACATTGTCCAATACACCATTTGCTTCCACTTTTAATGGTAATTATGTCTAAATTTAATAAAGCTTAGAAATTTAGGATTAAAATTTGAGAGAATTTACTGATGATCTTAATAGTTATTTAATGATCAAAGACATGTATCCAAAATACAGATAACAAGAGGAGACAACTTGAAAGTCATTCTTATTAAGACCAAAATCAAGTTAGATATTTATTTTTTCAGAAACTTTTAATGACAACCTACTCAATGTAAAAAAGAGACAGAAGTGAACAAAACTGGCTAAAATATCTGCCCTCATGGAGCTTACATTTAGTAATATGCAGAGATAAGGATTGCCAGATAGGAAAAATGCACAGAAACTTATACAGCACACTTCACTCTATTTTTTTCTTGTCCCCCAAGTCTCCCTAAATACTTAAATATTCTACCCACTGACAGTAAACTATTTTAGGCAACCATTATTCCTCGCCTACATTTATCCAGCAGGTTCCTAAGTGCTTCCAGACTATTTTCAATCTATTCACCAGTTTGCCTGGATGTTGGCCAGAAGTGATGTCTTCCTTATTCACCAGTAATTGTAATTCCAGCATCTAGCATAATGCCTGGTACATAGTAGATAACCAATATATTGCTGAATAGATAAAATGCAAATTTGATCATATTACTACTTTACTTACAATTTTAAATGGCACCCAAATGCTTTTAGGATCCAGTCTACAAAGTCTGAAGAGGCACAATCCTTTTTATAAATCTAGACTCGTCCTTAGCCATGCTCCCTTCACCTGCTACCACCCAACCATACAAACTTTTGAACATTTGCACCACACTCTTTTCCACTTCTAAATCTCTGAGCCTGCTATTCCCTTCTGCCTGAAGTGCTTTTCTTCTCTACTCTTTCCCCTGACAAACTCTAGCTTAGTTTTCTGATCTCAGCGTGGATATTGCTTCCTTTGGCAAGCCACCATGGCAACCCCAAATCTAAGTTAAATGCCAGCCTTATGTGTTCCTTGTATTTCCCCAATCATTGCACTTATTTTACTGCACTGTAAATGCCTCTTTAAAGTCTTTATGCCCAACTGAGATGTAAGTTCCGGGAGACAAAGACTGTCCAGCCTGTTTATTATCAATAGCACCTGGCTCTGTGCACAAGAGCAAACATACAGTAGCATTTCAAACTAAGAGGGCAAAGAAGAACTGTATGTTTAGGACGTTTCAGAGGTACCCAGGTCTACTGCTTGAGCACTCTCCCAGTGAAAGCCATGAATGTGTATGAAGACTTATCCAAATTTGTGGTCTAGTGTAAAGTATCCTTTATCTAACATCCTTCCATTTTAGGCCCACTACTGTTTGACACTTGTAACTCTGTAAGGTATGGTAGACTTTTGCATGTATCTACTATAACAGCAAACTATACGATATGTTTTTATAACATGCACATATAGAATAAGATTTTTAAGGTTTATTTACTTCTTTATGTTCTTTAAGGGAAAAATAATAGGTCATCTGATTTCTTATAAACTGCTCTGTACAAAGTACAATGAAGACTAAAACACAGAAATAAATTGATCTATTTTTCATTTTGCATGTAAAGATTGTCTTAAATATAGTAAGGCTAAGACTAATAATTGCACTGTTTCCTCAATTCAACAAATATTTGTCATGTATTAGCATTAGTAGGTGGCTCAATAACTATTTGCTGACTCAATGTAATTTATTTGATACTATAGGAAATATGAAAGAAATGTAAGACACAATTTTTGTTCCAGAACATTTTAAATCCAGTTAAGAGATAAGACATAGACCTATGTGAGACGTAGTAAAATGCATGGGCTTTGGAATCATATAGTTGGAGGTTAAGCCCTAGCACTTCCATTTGTTAGCTATATGATGTTCAACAAGTTACTTAAGTGGTCTGCCATGGTTTGAATGTTTGTCCTTTCCAAAACTCATGTTAAAATTTGCGATTGTAACAGTATTCAGAGGTGGGATCTTTCAGAGGTGATTAGGCCATGAGCTTCACCGACATAGGTGAGACTGGTGACATTATAAAAGGGTGGGTTAAACCCCCTCTTGCCCTCTCACCTTCTGCCATGGGATGATGCAGCAAGAAGGCTCTCACCAGATGCCGGCACCTTGATATTGGACTTCCCAGCCTCCAGAACTGTGAGCCAATAAATTTCTATTCATTATAAATTACCCAATCTCAGGTATTCTGTTATAGTCATGAGACAGACTAAAACATGGTTTAAGCCTCAGTTTTCTCTTCTGCAAAACGGTGATCATAATAAATTTTACTTCATAGGGTTGTAGTGAAGATTATATTGAATAAGCCAATGCATGTAAAGTGTTGGCACAAAATAAGCATTCAATCACTGTGAATTATCATGCATATAATACTAAATAGTTATTAACACAATAACAAATATATAACTGTTTTAAATGAATGGAAAAGATAATTAAAGTATGCAATCTGAAATGGAGAGTGCTAACCTAGACTAGTTGAAAATTTCATGTAAATAACAGAATACAGAAAATTTTCTAGTATATTTGTCAAATAAGAAACTGACTAAAATCTTTGTAATGCTTACTAAAACAAGTAAAATGAAGCGTACTGTTTTCAGGTATAGTCTGTATAGCTCGTGTGTTCTATACCTCTATTAGGCATAAGGATGTGTATTTTTTATCTCCCATTGTTTAATATTACCTAATGAATACTCATACTTTCCTTTTTGCTTTCCTTATTCATCCATCCAATGGTTGCTGCCAATGAAAAATGCAACAGAATACGCTAAGTCTTCTTTATTCTTTTGACTTATGTTATGGGAAATGTTTCTTTCCCACCCCTGATGTGCACTTCCATGTGAAAAGAGTTCCATTACTATAACATTCTTGGACTCTCTCTAAGGCTTAACTCAACACACCACAGAAGAGGTTTATGCCTTATTCAACTTTTAAATTTGAGAAGCATAAACTGAACATACTGCCCCTGATCCAATGCTATTTGACTGGAAGGTTAAATCTATTTAATTCTTGAGATCAGTTGAAAGACTAATTTTGCTCTCATACTAAGCTATGTCCTCCTACCTAGTCTTTATCAGTAATAAAAGTGTAATTTTGATATCCCATCTGCTTTTTTGTTTTACCTTGTTTCTTAATTTGTTCAGAACCCAAGCGAGGAATAAAAATAATATCACTGGACTCCTTAAAAAAATCCCAACGAGTTATTCAGAAAATATATACTTAAAGTTCTATTGTACAAAATGTCAACAATATGATAATGAATAAAACACAGTCCCTTCTATCAAGTAAAAGGGCAGTCTGTCACACAGAACAATTTTCAGTAATACTAGTAATATCACCTCAGATTGAGAATCCAGTGTTTGGAATTACACACAACAGGCACCTTTAGTACATATTATAAATTTAAAACCTTACTTGTCATGATAAATGTCTATTCCTTTGGTGACTGCCAAAGGTACTGTCACAGTACTACTAAAGGTATGGTCACAGTCAACTTCAATTATTAGATAGCACTTATATCTAACATTATTTAAGACTTCAAATCCAACTGGGAAGATGGATTTGAGCAAAGAAGCAAATACTAATTTTTTTAAAAATTGTATCTAAAGCACATGCGCACAGGCGTTCATCTGAGTCTCTTCATTTTAGAAACAATTCTGGTAAGCTGCATTATGTCATTTCCCAGTTAAATGCACTGGAAAAGTCAAGTTGAAAATGGGAGTGTTAAACACTAGAGAAGGCTACAGACAGAAATACAGTGATAGCAGTAAAGGAAAAAAAAAGCAGACATGGGAACTCTATTAGACTTGGGAACTCTATTAGACTATGAGCTCTATGAGGGCAGAAATTGTGTTTATTGTTCTACACTATATGCTCAGTGCTTAGTATGGTGCTACCACATGGTAGGTATTCAATAAATAACTGACAAGTAACAGAACATTGAAGAAACTACAAAAGCTAACATTCTGGATTTACATTTTAAAATGGCAAACAGTTCTACACACCTTAATAGACCCTGATGTTAAATATAAATAAACAAAAACACAGATGTTCTTAATAATGACACCAATCTTGCCAAAGAACAAAAAAGATAATCATGTTTAGAATGGACAGTTTATAAAGACACAAAAAAAGAACGTCAGTAAGCTTCGGTTATCTGAAATATTAACTTTAGAGAAACATCTTATTCCCTAATTCCACTGGATAAATGAATTGTTAATATAAAATAATGGGTGGGGCCAGACGCAGTATCTCATATCTGTAATCCCAGCACTTTGGGAGGCCGATGCAGGTGGATCACTTGAGGTCAGGAGTTCGAGACTAGACTGGCCAACACGGTGAAACCCCATCTCTACTAAAAATACAAAAACTAGCCAGGTACTGTGGCAGGGGTCTGTAATCCCAGCAACTTGGGAGGCTGAGGCACAAGAATCACTTGAACCCAGGAGGCGGAGGTTGCAGTTAAGCCAAGATCATTGCACTGCACTTCAGCCTGGGTGACACAGTGAGACTCCATCTCAAAAAGAAAGAAAATTAAAAAAATAAAATAGTTGGTGGTTAAAAAAAAAAACGCACCTATTTCTTATTGTTTGTCAGGCAAGATGGTAGTAATTTTTAATTGTATTAACTTACTTGAAATGTTGTATAAATATTAATGATAATAATACAATAAGTATATATAACAATACTGGTTTTATTACTCACAAAGTAAATATAGCTAAACAAAACACTATTGCAAAATAGGTAGGAAAACTCACACACTCAGTTCACTATAAACAGCATTCTGAAGTTTCTTCTCCCAACCTGTTTTTTAAAAAAAGAATAAAATATATGAACATACTAGTTTTTAAATAAACATACATCATAATTAAATTTATCTCAACAAAACTTTGGCATCATATTTATTTGTGAAAGAACTTTGTCAACTGCCAATCCCTATATAAAGTGTTATTAAAGATTATTTCCTATATACTTACTATATCCCTTGGCTAACACTGAGCAGCAAAGTCACCAACATGATATTTTAAAATAATATTATTGCACCATTTTATCAAGTTGGGAGGAACATTTCCTTTTTCACTATCGAAGTGCTCAATGAATGTCAAAATCTTCGGATGTTGTACTACTAAAGCTGTAAGGAATGTGCCAAGGGAACAGCAAAAAACAGCCACCTGATGAAGACAGATGACAAGTATCTAGTTATAATTAACTTGTCAGCAAAGTCCTGAATGACAGAGGCAGATTATTGTGAGTTACCAATAGTCAGACCAGTTAGCTCAGCTTCTAACTATCCGGGACAACCACTTAACATCTCAGTTCCCATATGCAGATGCTGGACTAGGGAACCTCTCTCTCCTCTTGCTCTTTGAAAAGTTAGAATTTTCTTTTTATTTTCTGTGAAAGCATAAAAGGAAAAAAGTCACAACTGAAAAGTAAAATGAAAAATTATTTAACTAAGGAGATACTTAATACCTTAAGGATGTATTTATCCATCAGGATATTACCAGTAAGGCAAACAGTATTTAAAACAAACTAATGCAAAGGAGTCTTTCTCACAGAGTTCTTGAATTTTTGCACCATTTTGTTAAAATGTCTAATAGTTCTAATTCTCCCTAAATAGAAACCTATTTGGCCATAGTTTTCACAATTTTGAATGAGAAACTGGAAGGCTGGGGATAAAATATTATTTATTTTGCCTTGCAAGGGTATCCAAGGCACAGAATACAGTCATGGGTTCTTAGTTTCTGTTTCTGATTGGGCCAGTAAAGCTCTTTCCTCATCCCTCTTCTCTGCTTATCACTAGAGACAGAAACAAAAAACCATGGCTTCAGGCTGTTAAAAGCCTAAAACAAAACAAAACAGAATGACGACAACAAAGTAAGGTGGCTGTACAAGCTTGAGGGCTTAAAGAATTAGGAATAAATAAAACATTTTCTTATTTTGCCTTAAGTTATTAGGAAAAAATTACGAACCTGATATTTTAAAGAATTCCTTAATATCTTCTTTCAGTGATTCAAGTTTAATCTCAGGTCTCTGAAGACTGGCCTAATAATAATAATAATAATAAAGAAAGATAAGGAAGGAAAAGACATCCAAAGTAAACCATTTCAGTTGATATTTAGAACAAATGAAATGTTTAAAAAGGAGTGTCCAAAAATGTATACTATTTGAAAAATCCTCTTGAAGATAGAGCTTAGAACTATCTAGAATAGCTTGTAAGAAAGAAGACTTTCTCACTAACTCTTAAAGGATCTGTGATAGTATACTAAAGTCTACTAAAATTATAAAAACTTGGAGATTATGAGTCCTTATCATCTTTATCTAGGGTCTCAAGTTGGAAAAATACTCAGATTTTATAAATTCATTGCCTTGATATTATATTAAATATATATGGCACCTGTACCTAATGACTGAAAAAACAGTTGCATCCATGTAAATGGATCTTTGCATAGTGTCTTCCTCTTTGGATTGCTTTTCAATGTAAATGCATTGTGTATATTTGTAGAAAATACATAAAACTACTAGTTCATAAATGTGTATTATTAGTGTTTTACCTTCAAGTGCATTTTTCCTATTCTACTGGTTTTTCACACTTCAATTTTTACCAAAAAATAAAATTTTTCCTACTTGTAATGGCTTTGATTACTCTCAAAGTGTTGATGTTCCATCACCTAGCTCTGTCAAATTCTAGCAGCATAATTCTTCAGAAGGAATTTCTATTAGAGGATCTCAAATAGAGTATTTCAAACCTAAGAAATCAAAACTTGGGTTTATCCTCCACTCTCTGTCTTGTTCCTTCTCTTACATTTTTCAAATCTGCATCTATAAAATTACCATTTACCAAATCTTCCAAGTTAGAAACTTCAAATTTATTCTCAATTCCACACTAACTCTTCCATGATTCAATGCCTTTCTGGGAGATGGCACAGGTGGCAGTGAGATTTTTTTTAAAAACCTCCTCGATTTCCACATAAAAACAGACCAAGCAACTAGATAGCAAAGCCAAATCCCTTGGAAAATATTCACAACAAAATTAGATGATAAGCTATCCCCCAGAAATACAAGCAGCTGAGGATAAACCAACTGCCACAAGACCTGTAAGGTATCAACATCTGTACAGGAAGAAGCAGAAGAAACAATTGGCTATCTGATGTAGTGAAAACAAAAGAACCCCAAAGTAGTCAACAAACATACACTTGAACACATGATGAGCCAACTTTAGAGCAGAAGTTAAAACAGGGAGGGGTTTTGCCTAATCCAAATATAGCCAGGTGATATCTGAAGAGACTGGAGCAATCCAGTACCTATAAATTCTTAAAACTGACAAATCAAGGCTCCCTTTCCAAAGTCTGGAAATGTTGATAGAGTAATAAAAAAGGAGAATGATAGGGAGCTAACTCATTACCTTAAACAGTGGTAAATAATGAAAAAGGCATTTATGCTGCCTTTCCTATTGGCACTATACCACTGGATATCTACACAGTAAATGAGGGGAAATGACTCTGCAAAAGTATTCTAGCTAATAACTAAAATAGATATGACATAATTAGAATATCACAACTTTGCAATCCCCAAAGAATTACTAATTCTAGGCATTGAGCAAAAATAGCTACTAACATTGCAAAAGAGATAATCAGACATTATGTGGTTTTCAATGAAAGAAGACTCTACTGCTATTGTCAGGCCAAAGGGATAACACCGGAGTATCATGAAGCCTCTGGGTCCACCTGTTAACTTATAAGACGTACAAAGGACAGAGGAACATGTTGAGTTATACCATGAATTTGCAGTAAGAAAAATCTCCAGGCTATGGGAAATTCTAAGGTCAAACAGCCTCGTTCTTCAGCTGATAAACTGTAAGGAAAAACAAAGGAAGGAGAGAAAACCTATAGCTTAAAAAAAAAAAAAAAAAAAGACAAAGACATTTTAAAAATAGGCAGGACTAAACTACAGTGTCTAGAGATATATATTTGATTAATAAAATTATCAAGGAATGCAGAAAATATAAAAAATACTCAATGTCACTAATCACTAAAGAAATGCAAATCAAAACTGCAATGAGATACCATTTCACACCAGTCAGAATGGCTACAATTAAAAAGTCAAAAAATAACATGTCAGGAAGGCTGTAGAGAAAAGGGAAGGTTTACACACTGCTAGTGGGAATGTAAATTAGTTCAGTCATTGTGGAAAGCAGTCTGGAGATTTCTCAAAGAACTTAAAACAGAACTACCATTTGACCCAGCAATCCCAATTACTGGTATATATGCAAAGGAATATAAATCATTCTACTATAAAGACACATGCATGCCTATGTTCATTGCAGCACTATTCAGAATAGCAAAGAAATGGAATCAACCTAAATGCCCATCAACAGTAGATTGGATAAAGAAAATGTGGTACATATACAACATGGAGTACTACACAGCCATAAAAAACAACGAGATCATGTCTAGCAACATGGATGAAGCTGGAGGCCATTATCCTAAGTGAACTAAGAGCAGGGACAGAAAAACAAAACCCACATGTTCCCACTTATACATGGAAACTGAACATTGAGTACACGTGGACACAAAGAGGGAACAATAGACAGCAGGGCCTACTTGAGGGTAGAGGGTGGGAGGAGGATGAGGAATGGAACTACCTACTGGGTATTATACATACTATCTGGGTGATGAAATAATCTGTATACCAAACCCCCATGATAAACAATTAATCTATATAACAAACCTGCACATGTGCCCCTTAAACTAAAAGTTAAGAATAATAAAATATCTAACAGAACAGCTAAAAAAAAAAAAGAAATGCAGAAAAGTGATTACCATAAATCTCATGTTATCAGAAATGGAGGGGTTTGTGATTGGGATGGGACAAATGGAGAGGTTTCCAGTGTGGCTGGCAAAGTTTCACTTATAGGGTGGTCATTACAAAGTCCTTCACTCCATAACAACACATTATAGATTTGTATCTATAATATAAATATAAATTTATATACTTATGGGCTAGAAAGGTTCAAAAAAGACAGGATCAAAGGTCCTCCCAATCTATACTTTCTCTCTATTTTAAAGTCCCACATTTAGTCTAAGACAAGTCTTCTTTCTCATTTGAATTACTGCAACAACCTCTAAATTGGGCTTCTTGTCACCTTACTTAAATTGTGACCACTTCCACCTGGCATTCTCAAAACTCCCTTACTCTATTTTTTCTTCTTTCTTAGCATTTGTCACCTTCTATTATACTGCACGATTAATTTATTTTCTATGTTTATTGGTATATCATCTATCTCATTACATTGGAAGTGGTAAGCTCCATTAGGGCAGACATTTCTGCCTTTTTTTACTGTCTGTATCCCAAGTGTTTTCTGTAAACCTAAGTTGTTTTCACACAGTAGGTGCTCAATAAATGTTTGTTGAATGAATGAACCAATTCTCCCTTTCCCAATCTATCTTCCAGCATTTCTTTCTAAAACATAAGTCTCTCCCAGCTGTGGCTCTTCACAGCTTACATAAGAAGTCTACATTTTTTAACATGGCATACTTGGTCCTTCACAATGTAGACCCAACTTATCTCTACAAATTCATCTCCTGCTGTTGCTCCACCAAGTTAACAACAACCTCTTCTCACACCTACTCCCCACACACATCTTAGCCACAGTAAACTATATTACTGATTTCCCAACTCTCAGTCCTTTAAGGGCTGTTCATATTTCCTCAGATGGAAGTGCTCTCTCACTACCTTGGCAAACACCCACTAGCTTCCAAGACATCCTTCAAATATCACCTCCTTTCCTTAGGCCAGGCAGCAAGGATAAAACATTATGTTCCTCTGTTTCAACAATTATCAGATTACAATGTAATTTTCAGCTCACCTATTCATCTTTCTGACTAGACTATAAGTTCGAAGGCAAGGAATGGGTCTTTATTTTTGCATCCCAAGTATCATCCTGGCATTAATTATTGTTTGACAAAATTATATTAACCAAACCACATTCTATTTTTTACCCAATTTCCTCCCCCGCAAAACAAGGAACTTGATAAAAATTATGGTTAAGTGAAGAGACTGTTTTCCAATATGTTACTCCTAGAAAAGACTTTTAAAAGCAGAAAAACCCTGGTAATTATTCAAATGCACTAAATTGAAAGTAAATAAGCTATCTTATACTAGCCTGCACTTGAAAATGATTCGGAGAGAAAACAATTTAAAGAATTTTTTTAAAACTGGTTGTTTTTTCTAAACACTTTCAATATTTTAAGGTTGCTAGACCTCCTAGATATACTTTGCACCCAAACTAATTATAAACATCTTGAAGTATTTGAGGATCAAAAGCAGGACAGTGATAACATGGTAAGGCACAGTGGTTCTCAAACATGATTTAGCAACAGAACCTATTTTGCAAATGAAATTGAAAACCTATTAGGAATCCTATATAAAACACATTGAAAATGATATTACCAAACAATAAGAACAATGAGCCTTTTCTTGTTTGCTAATGTTATGATTAACATTTAAAAGGTACAGCTTTATTCTGATATAGCCTCAATATCCAATTTCTGTATTTTGTTTTGGTGGTTCAGCATAGAGAAAAGTCCCGATCAAAGACATGTTTGCATTTTTAATAGACTTCCTGGTCATCTCAGCACACTCCCAAATTAAACTGATGTAGGAAATTGAAAGAAGCAGAGTTGGAAATTTTTATTTTGAGATAAATCCTAAAATTTACCACAAATACAAAATCAGACAAAGAGCTTCCAATACTGCTAAAATTACACATAACATGGTTTTACTACTACATGATGGGGTATGACAAGCTCACTTGCCTTACATCTCAGAAGTATACCGTCACCAGGGGCCTGTGTTGAACAGAAGCATTTGTGCTTTGCCTGGCCAACCAACCCCAAACACAGTATACCCACTGCATTAAGGTTCATCACTTGAACAACATTCCATAAGCACACATGTGCAAGCTCAGATATTTTAAAGGACCGGTGTAGAATTATATCTTTATAATCAAGCATGCATTTGTAAGAAGTGTCCCAAACACATGA